TCTCATTTTTTGTTTCAAACATTTTCAGTGAAATTATGTGTGTAACATTATGAAAAACAACCTTGCATTTTAGCAGCATTTATGTTAGTCTAACAGAGTATGGTTTTATTTATGTAAATCACTTTGTTCATTTAAGGCCTTTAATTCTTTGTTTCCTAAAATTATGTTGAAATATTTACTACAGATATGCATATATGTACTTACAACATATAATGTAAAATCAATAGTGATGCATACTAATATTTTAATTGAAATTATGCAATTACCAGTTTTTGTTCATTTGGTCATACATGTAGTATAGTATGTTAAATCATTGAATCCAACGACGAAACAGAATGATTGTATCATTATTAACATTAACATTTTCACTAAGCTCCCATCACACTGTAGGGCACAAGATTGAGCATTTCATAACAGCACAGTTTGCCATCATCATGTTAAAACATGTTTGATAAACCGGGACTTTTTCTCACATCACTTAAATTTCATTTATGCACTTTTGATTTGATTAATTGTAGCATAACTTATCATAATTTTGACAAGATAATTATATTGGTTTATGTTTTTATTATTTTAACAATTAACTTCAACAATATTAATATTTTAGAAACTATAAAATTTGATCGCGAGCATGAACCGATGCAGCACTCAACCGGAGAATGTTAACGAACATTAATTAACATTCCCCGGCTCGGCATATTTTCACATCATCATGTTAAAACATGTTTGGTAAACTGACACTATTTTCCAGATATTTACTTACAATTTTAGCGTGACATTTATTTGGATTTATATTTTCATTATTATAACAATTAACTTCACCAATATTAATATTTGCAAAAAATTTGCTCACGACCACGAACCGGCGAAGCACTCTGGCGAAGAATGTTAACGTACATGAATGAAAATGCATTAACATTTCCCGGCTCGGGTATAGTATTAGTTGCAGTGCCCATACTGCGACGATTCGGGAAAAATTATCATGCGCCATTACAGTAGATCACTCGGCTGCGCAATATCATGATCAGAGTATGTTAAAGTATTTTATTGGGATTTTGTGCTGCAATACAACCATACTCTGTTAGACTAACATAAATGCTGCTAAAATGCAAGGAGGTGGGTTGTTTTTCATAATGTTACACACATAAAATTTACTGAAAATGTTTGAAACAAAAAATGAGAGAAAACTAAAAATGGCAGAGATATAATATTTTTTTAAATAAAAAATAAGTTATTTAATAATTTATATGGTCATGAAACTCTGTAATTACAACTTTAAATTTAAACGATGTCTTATATATGTATATTTTTTTTTTTTTACTTTTCTAAACATGACAAAGTTAATTTATAATTTTAAAAAAAGCATAGTATTTAAAAGCTGAATCATAGAAGAAATAACTATTTGCTTCAATTATGTGAAATTCTATGAAAAGACATAATTGCTTATGCAATTTTTTAATATAAACGTGTAGATTAACCTGCTAATTTAAGTTTATTATTAGCAATTATACAAAGCGTTCTGCTTGAACTTTGGCAAACGGTAATCTATTTGCGACTTTTGCTCCGGCTAGAATTAGCATAACTTCTTCAAAGTTCGTGCAATTCTCACAGCTCAAGCGAGAAAAATTAATATAATATTAAACACTCATAAAATGTATTTTGGCCTGGTCGCCGGACAACGGTAATACACGAACCATATTTTCAATTGATAATTTATGTTTAATGAGTTGAATTAGATTCTACACGAATTATGGAAGTGGCCGGTATCCAAACATACGTCTATCTACATACAAACGACAGATGCTCAACTTTAATTCGCATTTTAGTGGGAGATTATCATATTCACATGACCACAGAGTCCAAACCAAATAGGAAGCGGATGGTTTTTCGTCACTGACTATTAACATATTGAGCTTGATTTGCAACCAACACCGCAGAGTTTGCTTATCGAGCTAATTGGTATCGATTTCTATAAATTAGGGTTGCATATAATGAATTTTTATACTCAAACAAGAGTTTTCAAATAACGAACATCGTTTTCAACTAAAAACGGAAGTAAATGTATAAACACTTCTGAAAGATGCGTGCTTTCGTGGTGAGTTCAACTCATTCAAATTTATATTGGATATAGGAAATGTTTTCGGATGTTGATTTATTCTATTGCAGGTCATGTGCTTCGTGGCTTTAGCCACTGCCGATAAACTGGGTTACAACTATCAGCCTGTGGAACACTCGGATAGCGGTTTGTCCTTCACCCCTGGCAGCAGCGGGTTGGGCGGTGGCTTATCTGGCGGTCTTGATGGTCTTAGCGGCGGCTCTTCTGCTGGATTATCTGCTCGATTAGGTGCTCCCGTCGGAGGCTTAGGAGGCTCGTTAAGTGGTCTAGGCGGTGACTTATCTGGTGGTCTCAGCCGTACGGGTGGTCTGAGCGGTTTGAAGGGATACGGCGGTTTGGGTGATGGTGCATCAAGTGGTTTGGGCAGTCTTAGTGGCTCCTTAGGAGGCCTGGCTGATCTTAGCGGAAGTCTTGGTGGCTTGAGTAGCGGTTTAGCAGGCAATCTCGACGGTCTAGGTGGAAGCTCTTCGGGTAGTCTCGAAAGTAACTCAGACGGTAATGACAGCAGTGATTCTAGTACCAGCAGTGGGCCTAACAGCAGTAGCAGCAGCTCGGCTGGTGCACCAGGCGTAGTGGAATACGAAAAGGAGTTCTACACATACACTGCTGATGACAATGATTTCGATGAACCCGAAGCCAATGATCAAGCCAGCCGCTCAGCAAAGAAAAACATTCGCGTTATTTTCATCAAGGGACCCGAAAACTATGATTTGGAGAATGCTGCCATCAATTTGGCCAGACAAGCTTCGGAACAGAGAACGGCCATTTATGTGCTGCAGAAACAAACTTCTGTGAGTGATTTAGCCAAGAAACTGCAGGATTCACATGATGCCCAAAGTCATCAGCCCGAGGTGCACTTTGTCAAGTACCGTACACCAGAAGATGCGGCCAATGCACAAAAGGTCATTCAAGCTCAATATGATCAATTGGATGGACCATCGCAAGCGCATGACGGTGGTGTAGCTCCAGTGCATAACTTCGCATCGCCTGCGGCGCACGGTGGTGCATTAGGTTTTGATGGCGGTGTGTCTGGCCCAGCAGGTGGTGTACCAGGTGGAAACGAACAATTAGATGGCCCTGAAAAGAGCGCACCAAGCGCAACGTATTTGCCTTTAGCAATCCTACGCAAACTTCGTTTTTAGATTACTACCTCGATCTTTGTTATTGTGTTTCTTGTTATGAGTTTTGTTCGAATAAAATATTTATGCTGTTACTTTAATTAGCATTTTCTTTTTTTTTCGGTGGAGTATTGAGGTGCTGTATATTTAACCTCAGGAACCACAAAACAATAATGATATAAAATATTATCCAAAGAATATCAAAATTATCTTGATTGAAGAGATATCACTTCACTCTGTGGGTTCTTGAAAAGTTCCAAGAAGATCCGACAATTTTGGGCCAAATTTTGTTCAGTGATGAGGACCATTTCAAGTAATCAAATGGGACCTAAACTGCGAGTTGCTCAAATTTCAAAAAATAAGGTTTCTAATGTTCGAATGATTAGGGTTGACTTAAATCTAATAGGTAAAAGAAAAATATTGCCTTTTTCCTTATTTCTATTTATTTCTAGTTTCACTATCATTATTATCGTCAGTATTTCCATCAGAAAAAATTTTCGCGATCGCATCCCTTTCCTCTGCTTTGTTATCGATCCCAATTATCGTAGTATTCGGAGGGGCCTCTAGTAAAAATATCCGCCTTGGACTTAATAACTCAAGCAAGCTTTCAATTTTTTCTTCGTCCTCGCTTTCATCTTCCTCGGGTGCACTGAAGGTCAAGAATTCAGTGTTGAGTCGCTCTTTAGATTTCAAAAAGTCTTCATCACTGTTTTTCTTCACTGCCTCTCCAATATCGTCTTCTTCCATGCTGGAAGAGGTCTTCTGCTTCTCTTTCGATGTGTCTAGTTTTTCTGCCGATTTGCTAAACACTGGCAAAATAAGGCAGCTAATTAACTGAAACATTTATATTACAGACAAAGTTTGAACAATTCTTCTATAGGCTCTATAGCACTTACGAAAAGAACGATGCCGGTAACGCGGTAATCCATGACAGCTATTTGCGCCCGCAATCTACGAAAACTGGCGAATAAATGAGGCGCCCGGTGCAAATTTCGTGCTTTTATAGTCGCGTGATAGTTATTCTATTCCAGATGTGACGATGCTTCACTTAATATGGCTTACATCCGATTGGCACTCACTCTCAAATGTCATTCCGGCTTAAGATTAAATTTTCTTGTAAGGTCTTTTCGAATTAGGTGCGTAGTCTTCCGCAAATTATCGAAAATAAATCTTCCATAATTCATGTGGGTGTTAATATTTTTCACATTTAGCTACCTGAAAGCTTTAGTTGCATTTCCTTATTTGTTAGCTGATTCCAATTTCAATTTCTAAATAATTCGTAAAAAAGTAGTTACTGATATTATTATTATTATTGGAGTGGTGTTAAAAGGCACAACTTAAATCTTTAAGGCATTTCTGTTAAAAACTCGATAAATATATTATTTGTTAATGGCTGAAACCAGTTGGTTTAGTTATAACTGCAATTTAAGTGAAATTATTAGCTTACTATAAAAAGCATATACTATACATACATTATGTAAGGAGGAGGAGAGTTCGTTTGGTATGGAACATTTCCTTAAACTAAGTCTTTTAATTATTAAGTCCGATTAAGTGATTCCTTTATTGGGCTATGTAAGTTAGAGGTACACAAAATATCCTATAATGAAAATCTAGTTTATATTTTTTCTGAAAGATGAATTCATTTCAAATTCTACACCTCTTCAAAACATTTAGGGTTACTAAAATTATCATTTTTTAATTTGGAAATTCAAATGAGTATTCCTCTTTACAAAACCACGCTTCCGAGCTAAGACAAAGTTGCAATTATAAAGTTTATCCCGGGTTCCATACGAGGTTCTATGATCACATTTGGATCTAAATGAACTAATACAAGCCAGCCAATAATTATTTCAATCTCTCATACTCGGCTGGGGTGACCTCCAGTGCTTTAAGGTAAGTTACATGGGTTTCTTTGGATAAAAAACAGAATTTTTGCAACAATTTATTTCTCAGATACAAAAATTAAATATTTTATCAAAATTGTGTACTGTTACGAGTACACATATACTACTAACACAGAATATATTCAGATATACTGAAATATTTGGAAAGAAAATTTAAGCTCGGCCATTGGGATGCAATTTCCAGTGACCTCTCGGAAAAAAGAGGCTCCCGCATTGGCTGGACAACTCCTTACAGGATCATTAAGTAAAGCGCTTTTAAAGACGGCTCGCTTAGCCTAGCTAGCCTTAAGGACACGAGTTCTTAAGGCTGTATCTCCGAAACTGTTAGACGCATCAACTTGAAAATTTCGGACAATGTACATAAGACAATAAAAGAATATATTTTTTGAAACCTGTAAACATTTGTAACCCCTTAAGTGAATTTTGATTTTTTCGGTTTCCAATAACCTTTAGCGATTGCAGGATCCTCAGCTACATTATCAAACAATGCATTTCCGACCTCCCCTCGACGTCGCTTTCGCTAAAGATTTACACCCTTTGGTACGAGCCATATCAAAAACATTGACTAAAATGTATTGAATCGATACATAAAAGATGTTGAGATCTTCTGCCATCTCTCTGATACCAACACGATGATTTTCAAGCTACATTCCTTTAACGTTTTTGATGTTATCGTCGTTAAGAGGGTTGGATGGAAGTCTCAGTTGAGGCAAATCTTGTATGATTTGTGATGACGATTTATTTCGTGTCGCAAACAAAGACCCGCCAAACAGTTCCTAACAGACATATCGAAATAAAACTTCATGGGAATATATAATACTTGTAAAAAAAGTTGTACCAATGTACGAAAATATTTTTTGCCCATTCGGCTTGGGGGTGAAATTTATACGGACCAGTCATGTGGATTTAGTGCCGAGTTCCGTATTTCTCATAGACTTTTTTGACGCTCTTAGGTTCAATTCGGAGCTAACAAAGATCGAGTCGATCCGAGTGTAAATTATAAAAAAAAAATATAAATTAGAACATAATTGAAATTTAACTTATTTGTGAGATTTATCGAAAAAAGCATATAAGGTATAGAATATATATATATATATATATATTATATTTATATATTGCGTTAGAAAGTCATATAAACCACCTTTACTAATTTCTTATTAGTTATTATCACACATATATTTTTTTGTTCCAAGAACATCAATGTATGCATTGCTCACATGAATATTCACTCAAAAATTATGAATGTGTTGCTATGCAAATCTTCACATGGACAAACTGTGTATTTTGCGTCAAAAAACAAAAGAAAAAACAACGTGGTAATAATAAAAAACAATATGGTAATAATAATTAAATAAATTTAAATTCATGGAACTTCGTTCTCTCACAGGATATTAACACATACAAAGCGCTTTGGTCGCCGCGCAGCTTGCTTCTTTGGAGCGCAAGCTACTTTTACTCAACTCGCGTGCTCGCACATATAATTAATTATTTGTTAAGCTAAAAAATATGCAAAAGAATTTCCGTCCGCCGCGCACTATAACACCGGAAGCCATGGCAGCCCCACCAGCAGCAACAATCACACACACTCCCATGGAGGCAACGGACACCGGCAAATACTTGAGTGTACAAAGTAATGGCTCATAACCACCTACAACACATATATACACAGTTCTGTTAATATATGTTTAACATGTTTATAAATATAAGAGCGTTTTCTAGTGAAGAATGATGATGGCTGAAAAAGTTGTTTTGTATGGACATGAGCATAGCTTTATGTGAAGTTGCTCTTCTTGTGTTAACAATGGAAAATTCCTTAAAGCCAGTTGATATTTCGAGAAGTGAACAGTTTATATTGAAAAATTGTTTGCCATTACGAAATATTTTTAAAATTTCACAAAAAATTTCAATTCTTTTGCGTATTATGATTCGGTTTTATAATCATATAATATTGGTCTATAATTTCACATATTCCCAATTGTGATTATCCGAGGTTATTGTTGTTGAAGCGGCAGAAAAACATTTCTGAACTAATATTGAAAATTTCTACCGAGTTGGCAGTCTTTGATTGGATAAAAATAATAGTACGCTCCGGTTATGTAAATCCAATTGTTATGAAAATAGCAGTATCAATGACTTCGTTCAATGACTTTAAAATCGTCATTTGGTTTATAAAAACGCTTAAAGTAAATAAGTAGAGTTAGGCTCGGTTTCAGAATAACATTATTATATTTACTTTATACGCTTAATCCCTAGCACGACCTCATTTGACCCCTAAACTGTTCTCCTGTATAACGTCTAAGTCCATAAACCTCGCTTGCTCACCGGCTGTTGCTTGCTTGAGCTCCATTCTACCTTCCCTTGACTAATACCTTGTTTTCGCTTGATTTCTAACTTGATCTGAAGGCCCCTAACTTGTTCGAATTGACATAGAACATGGCCTAGACTTCGATAAAACCGTAGTTGAACCCATTTACCCCAGCCTGATCTTTCGCTTGACTTCGAACTTTATCTTACGACCCTTAACTTGTTCTCAAACACTAAACCTCTCGCAAGAACTCATATCCGTACAAATATTTCAAATATTATCTAAGAACACCTTTGTCATTGCAGTACGTATGAGCAACCGAGAAACCTTTCTAATAGACTAGAATAGGGGTTAATGATATTCGAAAAAATATTTTATAGCAGTGTCCTACAAATGTTTACAGGATTGCCACAAAACTACAGGAACTATTCACCCATACACTTACCCATTCATTTACATATATTTACACTAGTATAAATACAGTTACATTATTTCTGAAAGCGTCCTGTTTTGAAATTCATGAGCTGTTAGAGTGAACGCTAAGTAGATAATTTTAATAGTGCGAATTAATTGAAGCAAGGATAAAAGTATAAAATTGTGAACTTCTTATTTATTCGCTTCCTCTTAGCTACCTTCGTGTGACCTTTCAAACAGTGTGTAAACAGTTAAGTGGGGCGAGTCTTGCAAAAGTTCTACAAAATTTCGCTTCCCTTTGCCCTGCCAATGTGGCTGCTAGTTTTTTGTTGCAAATCGCTTAGCAAAAATGTACAGGTATGTTTTTGCGAAAACAACAACAATATGGCAGGGAGCCGCGCACACACCGTCTGTCGGTGTTAAGATAAATGCTGCAGATATTGTAATTTATTGTACACCCGTCCGACGCGGCGAAATGACGCTGCTGGCTGAGCTGAGCAGAGCAGCGAGTCTGGCACTTAGTCAGGTATCGTGAGTAGCTCAAAAGCGAGGTAAATAAATGCCAAGCGCGCATATACTTTACAGATGCACGTACATATATTATACATATCTATGTATATGGTATGTAAATGCAAGTGTAAGCGTACAGATGTTGGTGCTTGCTCCATGCGGGAGGAGGCTGCGTATATACGCTTGCACTGGTGTTCGTCTTGTATACGGATTATATGAGTATGTCTGTATGTGTGAGGGCGTGTACTATTTTACGTACTCATGTGCAGTTGTATGTGCTTTACGTGTAGTAGAAATTGCTTTCAACTCTCTTTTAGAGGAGTTTGTTCCGAAGTTACTAAAAAGTGCTGGAGTGAAGATCTCCTGTAACTCTAATGTGTCAGCTTGATGTGTGAGAGTTATTGAAGGAAACTTAAATTTGCTATTATTTAAATTTTCTAAATTAAAGCGAAAAATGTTAAAATTAATAAAAAAATTGTCTTGATCAGAACAGTCAAGACAACACAATATTAATTTCGGTCTCGTCGAAGTAGCCTTCACTGGTACATTTCTTAAAGTATATAAATATTGTATTTTTCCACTAAAGACTATTAGGGTTTCTTCCAATTTAGTGAAAAGATGTCTTAAGCACTTCGTGGATCAAACATCCTACATAATGCAATGAGTTTCTGCGCATAGGGAACTGTGAAGCAGATGAACTAGTCAGAACATGCACCTCCCTACAGTTGGAATCCGTACTACTTGCAAATATTTATTTAACATAGTCGACAGCCACTTTAAATATAGCTGAGTTTCGGTGGAAACAATCGCTGACTTGCTCGGAGAAATGATACAAGACGAGTACTAACAGGTCAGTCTCTTTTACGCCGAATTACAAGTAGACTGAGAACGCCATATAACGACTATTATTTTAGAAGCTGTCAACAGGTAAAGGACGAGACAATTAAACATTTTCTAGCACATGTAAGGGTCTATATAGAAAAAAAAAAAAAAACAAATATCAGTCGAGAGTTTCTTGATGACGTCCCGTAAGTAATAGATTCTAATAAGTAAGCTAATAGGGAAGTTTTAATAACGCACGAGCTGGACGAAATATGAATATGGATGTTGATCGTTAACGATCTGCTTAAAAAACTAGAAGGCCGTGGCTGGCGGGTGATTGCTTATGCAGACAATTTCGCGTTCATCGTAAACGTAAAGTTCATGTAGAAGATGCACGATACCCATTGATTTTCGAAAGAAGAAAAAGGGAAAATAGTGCGATAACCATTTTTTTTTTTTGTGTTTTGTAAGCTAGCAGTAGATTTACTGTACCGGAGTGCAACCTCCTTCAGAGAAATGACCATCCACCCAGATATCAGAGCGAGGATACTTGGCTCCAACTCATTAACAGTGCAATCAATCCTGTTCAAAGACTGCCTAACCTCTCTTGCAATAGTATCGAGTGTCTTTGTGATAAGACTGGTATGGAATCCCAGGAAACTGTAAAGCTGATGAGCTAGCAAGAAAAGGCACCCTAGAGCCGCTATTGGTAGAATGGCAGCGGGTCGGTGCGCCCGTATCCTCTTGTGTTCTACTACTTTATAGGGCCATCATGGTTATATTCGCTGTCGCAAAGAGATTTAGTGATCTCAGAGATTTAGAGTCCTCAGTGAGGATAACCTCTCCCTAGTTCTGGGGGTTTTATCAGCGCATTGCTTAATCAGCGTCCACGCAGTTAGGCTGGAGTGAGGAAGCTGTATGTAAGAAGATCACAGGAGTTCTTACTTTCCTTTCTATATATAGTGGTCTTAGATTAAAAGTATTACTCAAATGATTTAGATAGGAAATATGAATTATGTAATCTGTTTTCGTAGGATACCCGGAAGTTTATTCGGGAGAAAAAACATTGAGATAAAAATACTCAAAAATATAACCTGAAAACGTATCGCTTTATTATTTCTTCTTCACTACCATCAAATAGAGAAATTGACGAATTATGAAAAATAATATTCGTATTGATCCAATTTTATACCCAATGCGTTTTCTTCTATTTTTATTTGGTTTCAATTCGTGGTGAGCGATTCATATGAGGTATGAAAAAAACCATTCCAAAAATATTATTTCGTAATCTTACTTCGTCACACAAATTATTAAAGGGTTAAAAGATTAAGTTTATTTGCACACAAGCAAAGTACAATTCATATAGTAATCAGTGTTGCAGACTTCGGCGTCATCTCAACATTTTTTAACTCCACTTACCATTATTTGCAAAATTCGTCTATAAAAATGCTTTCACTCACAACCATTTACATATTTCGTTTAGGGTTACTTCAAATTCTTCAACTTTAAAGCGCCTCGAACTTATGTGAAAATGCAAGTTTTTATACCACACATACATACTTGTATGTACACCAAAATTAAAATGTACAAAGATCAAGCTCATTTAAGTATGTAAGTAATTTGTTCGAGCATCGCAAATCCTGTCCACAACTCAATTAAATAAAATTTTGCACGCTCTTCACCCGTTATCCCATCGCTCTTGTTTCACTTCAACTTGAAAAGAAAAGCTGGCCATATTTAGAATGCTCACTTCGCCTAATCCCGCATTTCAACAAGTTTTATAAGCGTACGCACTTTCGCATCTGGGACTATGCATTCTCTACTCATATTAAAAACATTTTTGCGAAACCCAAAAACTTTGCAGATTTGCTTACAAACCGTCTTCAAAATTTCTATTTCCCTTTTTCGAAGGAAAAACCCAAAAAAAAAAAGTTGCGTTGCTTAAAGTTTTCTCCGCATTTTTGCCTTTTGATTTGCTCTTTGTCTTGATGCTGTTTTTGTTTGTGTGGTGCTTCCTTCACGTTTGCCTTTGCTTAGCCGCCTCTTCACCAGCTCTAATTTGTGTTTCTCATGTTTCTTGTGGTGTTTTTAAGGGCGTGATTACTTATTTGTCAAAAGTTTAAATTAGTTAAAGGATTGTTTGTTGTGAAAAAAGTTTAAGGCACAAGTAAAAATTCTAAACAAAAAGAATTAAAAAGCGTAATTAAAAAGTAGCACTTCTAGACGGGTCGTGTCAAGTAGTCGTTAAAGTTATATAAAGAGGTGAAGAAAATTTTGTTTGGAACTTTATTAGTTAGGAATATTTGAGGAAAAAGTGCAAGTGTTAGCATGGAGGTTTTCAAAATTTGGGGCAAGCAAAGTATTGTAATTATACAGGAGTATATATTTGCATATACTATACATTATTCTTCAATTGCCTATCTTTTCTTATAATAATTCGTTTTAAGGCAACTTTAGGTAATAGATAAATATATATGATTTTGCTTGAATATTGCGATATTTTATATAGGATTTCTTGCTCCACAATGCAATCGCCAAAGCTCAAATTATTGCGGCGACCATATCAAGTAACAAGACATTTCTGTTTTGGGTCCATAAGCTGTATGAAGGCGGCTTTCTATGTCTGTGTCTATCTTGTTATAAATATATAGTAAAACGTTAGGGAAAGTTTAGAAACCAGAACTCTATAATATAATTACTTTTTTTATTCTGTACAGCTATAAGTAGTTTTTATAAAAAAGATATATTCGTCGGCTACATTAAAACTAACAAACAATGACAATCCAGGTCATGTGATATACGCACTAGAGCCACTGCAAGATGCCTGCAGCACCACCTAAGATATTAGTACATCTCCTACAGCTCATTGTTCTATCGACTGGGGTATTCGCCGTTATCAATAAGCAAAGAACCATAAATCTTCCGCAACACCTTTCTCTCGAATACTCCAAAGATCGACTCATGAAGCAAGCAAATAATGAAAGACTTGTAGAGGATGGTTTTTATTCGTCAAAGGAAGACTTTATTTCTCAACATCTTTATTTCTCAACACCTCATCTTCTACTCAGATGCTACTGTTGGCAAGGGTGATTTTGCGTTTGATATCAAGGCTGATATTGTTGTTCGTGTTGATACTAGTTCTAAGATAGAGGAAATTGTCTACGCCTTCAAAGCTGCGACGGTCAATAGCGGTGTCTGAGTCAAGACTGTTTGTTTAATGATACAAAATATTTCGTGTTGTTCTCGAACCCATACGCTTCGTTTCTTTATCCAGTCTGCAGAAAGCGGAACTAATGTCGTGTTTTTTGAAGCTGCGAATCGCAACAAAATGGATGAATTCTTGAAGACGGACCAGGCAGGATTAGAGGTTAGGAAGACTTTGCTTTGTGTTTGGAGGGATTCACAGGAAATCATCTACAATGAGCTGCTCTACGGCAAGAGTCTTAATTCGGACCTCTACTATCAACATCTGAACCGTCTGAAAGGGGCAATTGCTCAGAAGCGGCCAGCTTGCAACAATTGGAATTGAAATTGTGTTCTGCAAAGCCCGGCTACCAACATCAATAGGACCTGCCAGAAGCTCCCGGAGCTTAGCTGAGATCTTAGCTGTCTATTTCGAATGGTTTTGCTTAATAGCTTTATTAGAGATATTTTGCATTCATTTATGAAAAAAAAATTCGACACAAAAAAATTAAAATCTCTACTCCTCCCTTAAGGCAACAGAAAATTAGAAAATAAACGTACTAAATATTTTTATTTAAATATTTATTTACGCAAATAATAGTTAGTGTCATCACTCCATTCATATGCATAAATGTTGACGCATTGCTTAACCATCCACACTCCCTACAGGGTGTTTATCAATACATTGCTTTTGCGCTGCTGCAAGCCTTTTATGTCTGCGGTATGGAAATAAGCTAAGTGAGCAGCGGCTGTAGCTCAGCACGAATTAATGCATATTTATAACCTCAAAATGCGTTAAAATAAAATCACACGCATAAACGGCGAGCTGGCTGAAGGGCATTCGTTGAATGGAACAGCAGAGCCAACGCTTGGAAAATAATGCCGATAACAAATCGACAACATTGGGGCAATTATCGACAACAGCAACAACAATTAAACACCGAAAACTAAGAAAAACTTTGTGCTGAGTGTTGCTGGCTCGTAGGCGACACAGGTTTTCCCTTTTAGTGCGAACGTGCTGCAGTAAGTCTTGGTGCAGAGGTCGTTAGTTTTCGTATGCTAATTTAAATTAGTGAAGTAAATTGGAGCTAATGCAGCTAATTTAAACGAAATCAACTTTCAAAAACAAAAACAAAATATTAAACGATGACATTAATGTGGGACAACATGGCAGACGAGTTAAGAAGCATATGCTTTAGTGGCTTTGCTCAACCGCCTTTTGCAGTGACAAGCTCACGTCCATATGTGGAAAAATTTGCTCATACCCCAACACATACACATATACAAATATTACTGGTAAACATGGTTTTAGGTATCCGTTGACGCCTTCATCCGATAAGGGTTTACATATGTATATATTTGAACTTGTTTCCCTTCTCTGGTGTTACTTATACTATACGATTATGTGCAGTTGTACAACCAGATGATATGGGTTAGGCGCTGGCAGATATTTCTTCTGCGTGCATATTGACTAATTCAATTAGACGATGTTTTTATTTTTGGACTTGATTGAACTTGAAATTGAGTAGTGGCAGACAGGTGGTCGCTTGTGCGTTCCACATACTCACACACATATAAGTTCAAAGAATGGTTTTTGTTGTTGTTGTTGTAATGTTGGGTTTGCTCAATTTGATTACAGACTAGTTATATGTCACACGTGTCTTTGGGAGTTCGAAGGCAAACTTCGCATTAATGTATATAAAAGCCCTGTAGTCGCTGTGGCACCAACAGATTTCCTTTGCGGACTCAAGGGTCAACAACTAGTGTCGAAAGTAACACGTGAAAAGTCGAAAAAAAGCATAAGAAACATGAGAAGCTTCCTTGTGAGTGTTAAAGGATATTTAGGCAAATATTTAAGGCGATAAATAACACTTTCGATATTCGTGGGAATAGTCACTTTCGAAGAAGGCGGCTGTGCAAGAAAATCAGTCCGATTACTTTTCGGAAAAAGCTGTCTTTGATCTCGAATATACTCTGACTAGACCAGAACTACCATGAAAACTTACTAACACTCTATCCTATCTACCTATTATCAGTATATTGAAGAAATTTTATCCAATTTCTAGGTCCTTTGTTTGCTGGCTACAGCTTTTGCCGATGAACTAGGCTACAACTACCAACCAGTGACGCATTCTGCAGAGGGCTTATCCTTCACACCAGGTTCCCTTCGTATTGCAGCTCACCATGGTGTATCGCCAGAGAAATTAGCTCCAGTCGCTCATACTCCAGTTGCTTCTGCACCAGCTGTTCCTGCACCAGTGGTTCCTGCTCCCGTTGCTCCTGTCCCAGTTGCTCTTGCTCCAGTGGGTCCTGCTCCAAACACTCTTGCTCCAGTTGCTCACGCTCCGGTTGCTCCTCTCCCAGTTGCTTCTGCTCCAGCACAAGTTGCTCCAGCTCCAGCTCCCGTTGCCCCTGCCCCAGTCAATGTAGAATATGAGAAAGAGTTCTATACTTATACGGCGCCACAAGAAGAAACTAACGATGCTGCCAATATCGGAAATATTGACAATTCATTGAAGAAAAATCTGCGTGTTATCTTCATCAGAGCGCCAGAGAATAAGGCTCTCGAGAACGCTGCTTTTAATCTGGCGAAACAAACGACTGAAGAGAAAACTGCCATCTATGTGCTCACCAAACAGGCTGACATTGGAAGCTTGGCGCAAAAATTGCAAAATATCGGAACACAATCCAGCGCCAAACCAGAAGTACACTTCGTGAAGTATCGTACGCCACAAGATGCTGAAAATGCGCAACAAGCTATACAGCAACAGTATGAAAGTCTACCTGGCTCATCACGCCATTCCAACGGGGGTTCTGCACAGGTACTGAACTTTGCTTCGCCAACGCCGGCTACAGCTGCCGCTGCACCAGCACCAGCTGCACCTAGCTCCCAGTATCTACCAGCTAACGCTGTGCCTTCGCAACTAAATACCGTCTAACGTTGCATTTTCGTTCTATATTTTTATGCACTCATTTTTAACTTTGTCTTGTACTTTTCATAAATTCGTCTAAATATACTAAAGCGTCAAAGTGATTTTTTACACAACAACAAAAAAATAAACTTGTATCGTATTACCCATGTTATTTATGGGCCTCTCCTAACCTTGCACAATGCCTTGCGATGATACGAGTAGGGACATTGGTAGTTAGGCGCAGTTGTTGAACGAATGCCTCTAATGCCTTCTGCCTAGTAAACATAACGACACATCTTTAGTATAAACGCATGCGTGTCATCGTTGTCGGCTACAAATTAAAATAAATTCATTAGCGCATCCTACAAACATTCGTCCTGAAAGCCGTGTGGAAGATTAATGCAGAAGCCCGCACTCCTGCTCTCTCTCGCTTCCCAGACTTTGCATAGTTTATATGCCTACCAGTGAGCTTAAATTAGGGATGCGTGTGGATAATATGTACTTGGCCAGCGAGTGTGTTGCTAATTCCTGCAGTTTGTAGTAATTGTTAAATATGCTGCCGCTTTATGCGCTGTGGCCTTGTTACGAAGGACATCATTTGCCGAGAGACATGCCCTCGACTCTTTAGAAGAGTTCTGTAAATTGGCAAAGCACTGTTAAGCTGGGTAATAAGTCATTTGCTCGCATAAGCCACGAAATAGTTACATAGTTTTTTAAGATAACTTGCAAACGAAATTAAGGGTTTTTAGGGAATGGTGCCTGTTATGTTTCTTAAATAGTGTTACTTATGTTAACATCATTTGTTGCTCAAAGGAACGTAATTTAAAGGATTTAATAGATATAAAAAAATAAGTTTGTGTAGCGACGCCAGATGGGTATAATCGAAAGCTGCAGCTTAATTTTGTAACAGCTTAATGATCTTTTATTTTTAAGAGAAAACAAAAAAAAAAAAAAATTTCAAAGAGGAATATAGGAACGAGCTAAGTCAATTTAGCCACGTCCGTCTGTCTGTCTCAGTTTTTAAGAAATCGAACCGAAGTATTAAGAGCTTTTTTTTATTTTTTCTAGTAAGACACTAATTAGACGGAACCGGCGATATCACATAACTATAATAAATAGCTGCAGAACAAACTCTCGAAGACAACGTTATAGTCTCTGAAAATATTGTTTTGACCGGATGATAATATATACCTGATATGATAAATATCTCATTTATGCTATAAAATTGTATATCGGGTGCGCTGAATATAAAGTTAGCTTTTTAATCTATTCCCTCTCTATACATAACTCTCGATAGAATCGATTTTTCGAATAACAAGGAACCGAATCTTGCTCCAAGAGATTTATTTCGAATATTGACGAAATTAAGTATTTTCTTACATATATACTATATAATTATATTTCTGTGACAACTCTATTAATCGACTTGTAAATCTTTAAATGCCTACTCTTGCTCTTCTTCGGACGCCTAGAAGAAGTAAACACTGCTATTTTGGTACCTTAAACTTAGATCTGTTGAAACAAAGAATAGTTACTCGTTGAACTGAATTTTTGGCGGCAGCTGTTCTGTGCCTAAAATATACACGTACAGTTGGTATTCGATATTTATTGTAACTTCGAAAGATTTGAAATATGGTGAATGAACTGGGCTGTATTATATCTATGATTATGTAGACTTTAAAACATTTTTGAAAGTTTATTTGAAGACTGGTTGGAAGACTTTGAAACTGGAACTGTAGTAATGGTAATAAACAGTAAAAGTACAGAACTTGGAAAGATGTAGTAAATGACGGCAAGCCTGTCTTTGCCACTCTTTGTAATTTACCTTCAAATATCTCTGCTAATAAATTGAAAAGGCCGCAGGTGTCGGTGGTGGGGTGCATTGTAATTATTTGGATTGACCTATACAAAGTTTGAGGTTGTTTCTTATGTTACGCACTATATTCTTTATAAGAGAAGAGGGCTCGAAAACAATTATGTATGTATTTGAATGTAAATTAGAAGGTTAGATTTTTATTAGATAGAAAACACCTATATTGACTAATGATGTTAGACTATATATACTTGAAATAAAGAAAATTGCTTTATACATATAGCCATCTTAAATGTAAAATAACGTAACATCACTTTTCATAAATTTACAGGCGGAGGAAAAACGGTATATCACGCAAAAAAAAAAAAAAAAAAAAAAAAAAAAAAAAAAAAAAAAAAAAAAAAAAAAAAAAATAGAGCTACAAAATGGTTATGTATTGGTTATTATATATGAAAGAGATTTTTGATTAAAAAGCTTTATGTATTGTTTATCATACACAAAATTTGAGTTTTGGTTATAAAATAGTTATGTATTGGTTATTAACTGGTTAGTATATCTGAAAGCGAACTTCGATTTTTTTTTATAACACGTCGTTTTGCATTTTCGGTGACGAATATACTTATTTAAGAGTATTGTCCGAAAATTTGCTTTGGAGATATGAGAGAATTTGTAAGAATTTTTTAATTTAGTGTAATCGGCTCACAAAACTTCAAACACGTTTTTCTCGAAACACTGTTTTCAAAGTGCGCGAAGAAAATTTCTCCGAAGCCACATTACAGCTACTTCTTAGATGCATTTGTGAGGTTATAATAGAAGGAATAAGATTTTTTAAAGTCTTTTAAGCCACCCTGAAGTGTGAAATTTTTCACAAAAAAACTATTTGTTTCGGAAACCGGACATTTAGTCAAAAATTATAAACTCGACAAGTCTTTCAACCGTGATCTATATTCATCTAAATTAATGAAATATTTTAATTTCTTTTTTACTTTGGATTTGAGCAAATTTTAAGCAGCAAAGTCTCCCACACCGCAGGAGACCTCTTTCGGAGGTCCTGCTGAAGATTGGCTACTTGCAAAATTAATTGCCGATTATTAAATTACATTGAACACTGTAAATGATTTTTATATTGTTATATCAAGTAAATGCATCTGCAAAAAAGCAGAAAAGGCGCATTTTTTGACTTGCAAGTAGTCGTAATCTCTTAAGTCGACTTAAGCTAATTTATTTGATGGTACAGTATGACTTAAGGTAAATTATTTCTCACTCTAACCAATAAATAACATATGTGTGTATATTATATTATTTACTGGTAAATATCCAGTATTAATATACTAATTTATACCCAATGTAATATAATCGTTAATTAAGCAAAATACAAAAGTCAATTTTTCGCTCAATATTTCTATATAAATCAACTGCAGATGCTCCCCTTTCAGCATGAGATTACCATATTCAAAGCAAAATTATTTTCATTTACTTAAGACTCCTTAAGCCTATATTTAATATAATCAGACCGAGTGTGCGTGTATGTGTGATTGCGCATGTGTTTAGTAATGTACTAACGATGGTTGGGCGTATCTTAAAACCTGCTTAATACATCTTACCTTAAAGGTAATAATTTCTTGTTAATGTGCTCAACAGGCTAAAGTCTGCTTATAAATAAAAGCTGTCGGTCATGTCTAGTGTCTACAAACAGCTGAAATAGTTGCTGATGATTTTTATGCAGGTGGCAAGTGTTGTGTTACGAGTAGTTTTATGCGTTCGCGATTCCTTTTAGTCAACAAAATTTCACACATACGCACATAAATCTGGCGTTAGTGATTCGTATGTGCTTATAATGTTTGTATGTGTGTGCATAAACATAAAAGATGTAGGCGTCTTAAGGATGCAAGACGAGTTTGGATTACGTCCGATTCCGTTCTAGTTCCATTTATGCCTCTCTATATGATATAAGCATTAATGTGTATGTATGTATGGATATGTGGTTGTGTGGTTGAGTGGGTGTGTAGAAGGCGACATAAACGTTGATTATGTGGCATGAAAAAGAATTTACGACGGTGTTGAGTGGAGTGCTTACATTTCACTTACAACGACATAAATGCGGAGATAAGTGCATTGCGTAGGTAGGTGAGAGTCGCCGAAAATAGAGAAAACATATCACGCATTTAAAGCGCTTTTGTATACATATATACTCGTAAAGTGCTTACACGCTTGGACCTACATTTTCATTACACATCCTTTCAAGTGTCGGTGTGCTGCCATCTAAAGCTAGCAACGGCATCTGCTTTTGCTGGCTTCCTAATTTACTTTTAAAAGCTTTGTGCCGCCGTTCTGTCAATATCTCTTACTCTCTTCGTGTGTGTTTGTCTAAATATAGATACATATGTGTGCGTAGGTGCATTTGTATTTGGATACATGAGTGCTATTATTTGCCTTAAGGTGCTTCAAGTAAAGGTCCACACCTAAGACTCCTGTTTGTTGCCAACTGAGTATCTCTGCACTTATTTGTGTATGTATGTGTGCGCTGGTGTTGATGACAGCGTTGAAAGCATAAAACGTTTGTAAATGTTTCGAATTATTTCCGTTTCCCTTTTTCGCTGACATAATTCTAGTCGCCTCTAATTACATGCAGACCTCTTTGTATATGAGCACAGTCGTGAAAGTGAGAAGAAAGTCGAGTTGTTAAATATCAAATAAATTCAAGAGGTGGAGTTTATAAAGACGAAGTTCGGGTGAAATAAAGCATTTAAAATTTTCTTGTTATATGAAAAGTCGATTTCGTCAAGAGCAAATAATACTTAATTTCTAAAATATTCTTAAAAATTTTATTAAATATTGACTTTGATTATGGGACCTAAAATTATGCTTTTCTATTTTATTTCTTCTACTATGGATGTTTGTTCGAGACGTCTTGCTTTAAATTTTGCCGAGTTGAAGGCAACTAACTATAATTATATTGAAATTAAGAAATGCAAGAGAACTTTATTTTTTATTTTTTTTTTTATCTGCAGTAATAACTTAACAATATGCTGTAATGTAAATAACAATGTTATTCCCCAACATACTATATATAAAATGTGGGCTGAGTTTTAATAAGAAATAACACATCTCGGCAAGTTGCATCATACAGTAAACATTTGAAACTCTTATTGTGAATATGAGAAGCAATATGCGTAAATACCACAGCAAACATACCCACACACCCAGGTGCCTGAGTAAGTTGAG